CTAATCTTACTTTGAAATGAAACCACTCTGGCCTGGCAAAGCTGAGCATATGTGGACCTTTATTTCAATGTCTCACTCTCATAACTACATAGCTTACACATTAGTTACATAACACCAAGCTACCAAATCATTTACACTAAAAAAATGGCATGTCAGGTCAACCTAAAAAAATTACTTCATGTGGTAACAAGCAATTGAACTATTTTTTTTTCAGCTAAAAAGTAACATTTACTGAATGAATTGTTCAAAGTATTTATTTAGGTTGAATAAAACTAATTCATTTACATGTTACCACATTAATGAGCCATTTTTTACAGTGTATTTTCTACAGTCATATGCCAAATCTCAAACTCTTTGGCTCAAATGACATGTCGTGTTGATTTTCTAAGTGAAATGAAGTTAACGCATCCTCTACAGAGAACAACTCGTATTTGGCATTTCTCTGTAAATTTTAGTGCATAGAATTTAACAAATTGGGAAAAAAAACATAAAATGTGTCATAACTTTTGCACAGACTCCCTATTATGTTTTTTTTCCCCCATTATGTTAAATTTAGCGAATAAATCTAAATTGTGCATACGACTGTATAAGAATGACTTTAATGAGTCTTAAGATTAATAACTGATTAACACGCCGAGGGTTCAAGGGGTTAAGCTGATCTAATCACAACTGTATGCGTTCAGGGAAATATCTTCAAAACCTCCAGTGGATTATGATTATGACTGTGGTCAGTGGTGTGGTCATTAGATGCCGTGCACACAAAGCATGTTTTTGTCAAACACAAAGTGTGTTTATGAAACAGTGGTCATTCTGGAGGGCAGGGGTCAGCAGCAGGCTGTGTAGGTGCTGAAGTGGGAATGGTCGGCCTGGCTCTGATACTTGCAGTGACCTGGACTAGGGTGCCAGTAAAGAGAGTGTGTGAGGGCTGGTGTCACCTCAACACCTCCGCAGATAAGGAGAGAAGTGTGAACAGCAATGGGAGTGGCTGGAGCCTCTAGACCGCTCATTACTAAACTCATTAGAGATGAGGGACACCATACGTGTAAATGCAATTAAGATAAACTGTAATAAGAACAAATCTCACACTGAATGACTTAAGTGAGTATAAGAGTTTGATTAAATTTAATCTGTCTGAAATTGAATCTGTCCCTGCAGTGACACCTCAAGTCCACGTCTGAAATGGCTTCATCCAGCCTGATTTCTAAAAGTCCAGTATTACCATCAACGTAGCAGCTGATGTCAATGTTTGCTACAACAGAGCACTGAAGTCCAGAGTCAAGCAGCCTGTTAGGAATAGAACAAGTAAAAACTCATTAAGAACATAATAAGAATTTAACCCTTAAAGCTGCTTTATTATTCATTAACTACACTCTTAAAAAAGGTGGTTCTTCAAGGGTTTTTTGATAAAGATAATGCTATATAGATCTATGAACACTCAAAGAACCGTTTATATACTTAAAGCGTTCTTTACATGGTGAAATGGTTCTTCAGATTGGTGTAGAATGTGTTTTACCCTTTTTGAAAAGGGTTCTATAAAGCACCAAAAAGATTCTTCTATTCATAAAAGCTTGACATTGTAGCAGAACCCTTTTTGATGCTATATAGAACCATATACAGCCCATTCAGCCCACACAACTATTTCACCATGCAATGAACCCTTTAAGCAAGCAGATGGTTCTTTGAGTGTCGGTCTATATATATAGAACGATTATCTTTACTAAAGAACACTTGAAGAACCATCTTTTTTTAAGAGTGTACTATATATTATTTGTAAAAGTCTATGTGATACACGTTATGTAGTTGCGAGAATGAGTCAAGTGCAGGGCTACATACAGGTTATTGCAGTTTATGTGGTTAATATGTCAAAGGAGAGGAAACATGACCTTACATACACTCAATTTGGAAACTTGTTATTTTCCTGTCACTCTGGGCCAAACGATGTGTGATGAGTTACGCTGTACTAACATCATAACAGAAGCTCATGCACTCATAAGGCATTACAAATGTGCTCCACACTGTTATAGTCCTAGAAATTTACCTTCATTTATGTATATTTATATCTTTCAGTCAGTTTCAGTGGCAGAATCTGATTGGTTGAGCAGCGTTCAGACTGTGCTGATAGTTTTTTGCAATAACTGTATCATTCTGCTGAGAACTGGTTGCTTAGTAAGAGCTTGCTCTACACTGCAGCTAATTGTTACTTTCTTTTGTATATGTCATCACTGTCCAAGAAAAACATGTATCTCCAAAATAGTAACTTTACAGGAGATGGCAAAAACTTTATTTATTTTTAATGCAAATTAATGCAATCTGAAGAGTTTTTTTTTCAAAGTTCTTTTGGAGCATTTCTCTTTTGGTCAATTTCTCATGAAATTTCCAAACAATGTAAAGGACAACTGTAATGTTCAAATGATGTAGAAAAAAGAGAAATAAAAATCAATGAAAATGGAGACACAGTGCTTTTTGGACAGTGACAATGCACATGGCAGCTGTCCTTTACATTACGTGATCATTACCAGAATTGCAAGTATTAAAACACATTTAACACAATGTTCTGGGCTTTTCTGCTTTACTACTTACTTTATTTTGCTGAACTGTTGTACAAAAGCAATAGAACATGTGTTATCATGAGTGATATCATGGCTGTGATGATCTGCAGTTCTTGCCTTTTAATGATTTGTTTTTCTCCACAAATTTGTTGTGGTCAGTTCCATCCACTAGCCAGGCTGGGAGAATGAAGGCTAGCACATGCATCCTCTGTGAGACATAGATTTGCTTCTGCATATTTTTAAAGTGTGGCTAACCCATTGTCATTGTAGAGTTCAACATGCTTAAACAAGAATGCTGACTGTTAATTTTGTTAACTACCAAAAAAAAAAAATATGCTGAGAAATGGGTGGGGTGGGAGGGTCAACCTATGTTCCCAGAGAAACTGAGTCCAGTTATGCTCTCTAGACTCTGGGCATTGCTGTAGATCTGAATTGACATTTATGATTGATTGTATGTAGTCTGACTATGTCTCTTAAAGGTGCAGTATGTAAGATTTAGTGGCATCTAACTCCCTCACCCCCTTCTTTCCAAATGTGTAGTAGAACCTACTCTCAGGTTTTCTGCTGTTGACCATCCTGATTTCACTTTGATTCTTCATGTTTTTGCTTCTTTGATGACAAGGACTCAACGTCTTTTGCTTTTTATTGTGCTAAGTAATAAGCATGACCCTCCAATTCTCAAAATTTATGTTCTCAGACTTCTCACAACACAAAATGGTCAGCCAGCACCGGTATTCTCCTTCTTCTATCTATGTATTCCAACTGGTGCTATAGTGCCACCAAAGTCAAGCTGCTTCTTCAACATAAAGGCACTCTCTAGAGCCAGTCTTTGGTTTGAAATATGGCAAGGCAACGTGGCAGCCTCTGATGGAAGAGGACTTGCTCCATAGGTAGATATGAAGGGCTATTTGCTAATAAAAACATGGTTTTGTATACTATATTCCATTTCTGCTACTAGATACCCCTAAATCTTACACACTGCACCTTTAATTTAATTTATTTTATAGTTCACCAAATACAATTGTCTTACCAAAGATTACAAAATGATTCCCACTATATTAAATGAGTATATTTACCATACTCTGATATTAGTAAACTTACTGTCCACTACAGTCAATGTTTCATATGAGGGCAGGAAGAGGTCAGTGTCCAGGTCAGAGTGTGTAGGTGCTGTGGTGGGAACAGTTCTGCAGACCCTGCTTCATGTACTGTGTGTCATATAGAGAGACTAGAGCAGTAGAGGAGGTGAGAGAAGTGTGCTGACGGAGGTGTGAGGGCTGTTGTCATTCCTACATCTCCCCAAGTGCGGACTCTGATCAGCTTGGTCACTGCATGGAGCAGGCACTGGACATGCAAACTGTGGACAGGGAGTTAATAGCATAATATTGGTGGAAAATAAGCTTGATGTGAGCATCTCTGCTGAAAACAATGCACTTAGAACTTAAATATTGGTATTCTGTCCAAGCTATAAGGTCTGTGACAAAGGCTCATGAAAAATTAAGTAGGCAATGATCGTATTAGAGAAAGCTCAAATGAGTGTTCAGCAAAAAAGTCAAATGTACAGTTTTCCCCTGTAGTCCATCAGCCAGGGCACCTTTGATGTGCAAAGAATGCTTTTTAAAGTGTTTTACAAGTTTTACAGTGAAGCTACAAAGCTAATGTAGCTAGCAAATAATGGAAGCTTATTAGCAGCTTGCTAGCATTCTGTAAACAGCATGTCTGGATCATTACACTTGCCTTAAACCGTGTTTAGTGGTTAAGTAATCTCAATTAGACTTGCTTATGTGGCTTCTGACACTGTATGACATACTACTGTCTATAAAATAGACAAAACATGCTAAAACGCATGCTAAACTGTGTAGCATCTTCTGTATGTTGTCAATACCTTTGCCATTTTTTCTGTACAGTGCCAGAAAATGCTTAAGCAAGTCTATTTGAGATTATTTAACTCAACAGGTGTTTATACGCCACCAAACATGTCTTGGCTGAAGTGTATCACAGGGGAAAATTTGACTTTTTTCTTCCACTAAACAACTGAGATATTTGTTGAAGCTAAATGGTCAAAAGTTGGAAAAGGAAGCTTCATACACCTTAGAAAAAGTATGGTTGACTTTTCAAAGAGTAAAGGGGGTTTTGTAGAAAGGGGAAAAGAGCTACTGCAGTGGATTAGGAAAATGGGGGAGAATGGTTAAGGTTAGGGGTACATATCTGGAACAGTAATGCATATGAGATACATAAATATGGGCATTTCTACAGGTCAGTATGAGGTCAGTGTTTGAGTCCAGGTCAGAGTGTGTAGGTGTTGTGCTGGGAACAGTTCTGCAGACCCTGCTTCTTGTACTGGGTGCCAGTTGAGAGACTAAGGCAGTAGAGGAGGTGAGAGAAGTGTGCTGAAGGAGGTGTGAGAGCTGGTGTCATTCCTATACCTACCCACACTGTGACTCTGAGGTCAGCAGACTATGACCAGAACAACCTATGGATGAAATACCATACATCAATACAAAAGTTGCCTCTCTTTAGTTTGAAAGCTAGATATAGAATATGTCATCAATGTCCAGGGACAGACATGTTCTCTTTAACAAAGGAGGATGATGTTGTCCCAGTCATGATATATATATACAAGTAAAATCCACAGTCTTTAGTGCAAAATAAACAAAACTTAACTACTTGTTGTTTAAAGTAATATGTTTTAGCTTAGCCATTCTTTTAAAGGCAACCTGACGTCACTTGACCCCATAATAGCATTCCACCCACAAGCAGCGCAAAGTCTGTTTGGTCACATAGCAAAGATAAGAACATAGTGATGTTTTCTGAACCCTGATGCATTTGATAAACCTACAAGGTCAATAACTTGAAAAATGTGCATGCTGGCCTTCATTCTCCCCCTTCAGAATGATTCAACCTACAGGGAACTGCCTATGACTGTTGAAAGTAATTAACAAAATAATTTGCCATCATTAAAAATAACACTTCTGCTGCTTCTTCATCCTCAGTATTTATATTAGACATGCATGTAAGTCAAGTCAGTAACTATAAGTGTATGTACAGGTCAGTGTGAGGTCAGTGTTCCTGAAAATAAACTTTTTATGGCGTTATGCTGTCATTGTTTAGCTGCTTCACCCACAGTCAGCGGGCTTCTGTCTTTGGTATTCTTGACTATCGAGAGATGCAGCACTGGTCTGCCTCAGGTCGGCACAGTAGCAGATTGGTTCACCCAGTTGGTCCTTCATAGTCTAGCAACTGTAACTATGAGGATACCTCTGGAAAACATCACAATATGCCGTTACATATTTTTAATCTGAAAACTTGCCCAGTGTTCCCAAGAGATTGGTGGAAGGAGTGAATTGTTACTCATTTCTCAAATCGGAGACAAAAGAGGAGATATATAAGATCTCAATTAATGTGTGGGAGGCTGCACTACCAAACTAGAAAAGAACATTTCCAGAAGAAGAATTGTTAAACCAAATATTTTGTTACAATTGAAGCTAGCATCAGCGTCACTACAGTGAGAGAGCAGACAGCTGAAGCTGGATTAGCGAGCCAACATAGGACCACACAAATACCAGGGGGTATTTCACACACTGCATGATGTACACACATGCAGTACACAAGTAATCACCAACTCTTTTAATATGATTAGGCCTCTAACAATGATTACATAATCGCCTGGTTAGCTTGTCAGCTTTCTTAATCATAGGTTTAAATGGCAAAAAACAGTGTAATATAGTTGGGTTAAGGCAAATGTATGTAAATAAAAGAAAGTAGAAAAAGTTCTGAATAGTGCTACAAGACCTTTGGAGGGCAGCACTGAGTAATAGAGCTGCTAAGTATGGACATCTAGTTAATTAAGACAGCTAATCAGCCAATTTACCCACTTTGGACTTTGGACTCTAAAGGAGCCATGTACTACATTTTTCTTGAATTTTGTATTTCCTCTCTGAGGTCCATTTATAATATCTGTTTGGTTTATGTACCAAAAACAGTCACAATCAGTCACAATTCATTTTAACATGACCAGTTTCCAAACTCCCTTTATCCCTTAAAATTAAACAGGCTGTTTCTGTTACTGCGCATTTAAGACTGCTATATGTAAATGAGCTCTGTCGTGATTGGCTGCCCTGTATTGTGCCTCATTCAACAAACAGTTCAGGATGTAACACTCTTTATAACTTCAGCTAAAATACTGTAAACTGAATAGGTGGATATATGTAAATGTGTTGGTTTTTTCATGACATCAGGTAAGACTACACTCCAGATAGCTAAGCATGCTAAGTTAGCATATTTTAATGAATAGATCCTCCTGACCCCTCTATTTCATACTGGACCATGGGACATCAGGCCAATCCATGTATGTACAGGTCAGTAAGAGGTCAGTGTGTTTGAGTCCAGGTCAGAGTGTGTAGGTGTTGTGCTGGGAACAGTTCTGTAGACTCTGCTTCATGTACTGGGTGTAACTGGGTGCCAGTAGAGAGGCTAGATCAGTAGAGGAGGTGAGAGAAGTGTGCTGAAGGAGGTGTGAGGGCTGGTGTCATTCCTACACCTACCCACACTGTGACCCTGAGGTCAGCAGACTATGACCAGAACAACCAGTGGATGAAATACCATACATCAATACAAAAGTACCTCTCTTTAGTTTAAAAACTAGATATAGAATGTATCATCAGTGTCCAGGGACAGACATGTTCTCTTTAACAGAGGAGGATGGTGTTGTCCCAGTCATTAAATATATATTTAAACTTCACCGCTAGTTGTCTAAAGTAATATGTTTCACCTTCAGTGTTTTTCTGCTTTTACAGTAACGCAATAAGCCCATTCTTTTAAAGATAACCTGACGTCACTTGACTCCATAATAGCATCCCACCCACAAGCAGTACGAAGTCTGTTTGGTCACTTAGCAAAGATAAGAATGTAGTGATGTTTTCTGAACTCTTTGATGCATTTGATAAACCTGCAAGGTCAACAACTTGGAAAATGTGCATGCTGGCCTTCATTCTCCCCCTTCAGAATGATTCAACCTACAGGGAACTTCCTATGACTGTTGCAGGGAAACAAAAATAAATAATAATAATTTGCCATCATTAAAAATAATCCTGCTACTTCTCTATCCTCAGTATATTCATATTAGACATGCATGTCAGGTCAGTCACTGTAAGTGTACGTACAGGTCAGTAAGAGGTCAGTGTTTGAGTCCAGGTCAGAGTGTGTAGGTGTTGTGCTGGGAACAGTTCTGCAGACTCTGCTTCATGTACTGGGTGTAACTGGGTGCCAGTAGAGAGACTAGATCAGTAGAGGAGGTGAGAGAAGTGTGCTGATGGAGGCGTGAGGGCTGGTGTCATTTCTACACCTCCCCAAAATGAGAGCAGAAGTGTGAAGACAGAGATCTGCAGGGTCACTAGATGGAGCCGCAGTAGACATCATGACCCTGAGGTCAGCAGACGGAGTCTAATGCAAACTGTGCAAAAGCAGAAGATGTCGCATGTCATATTAAATGAGATGGTACCAATAAAATTTTGGCCTAATTCTGTGGCAGACTGAGTGATCTCATTCATCTTCATGTATTGCATGACAGATTATATGATAAAGATTCTATGACTGTAGGCAAAGCATAAGAGAAAATGATGACATTTTGCATCAGCTGTATTCATTTGTAGTTGGTATATATATATATATATATATATATATATATAATATATATATATATATATATAGTTGTGCGTATGGACGGGTAAAGCTGCAAATGAATTGCCCTTTTTTGGGATTAATAAAGTACTCTGAACTTAACTGAACTGAACTGAACTGAAATAGATGTGTAAAAATGTATTTCTCCCGGGTTTGAATACCATCATTTGAAAGAAGTCGTTGGTGAGTAGTTAGCATCTTAAGGGCTGTATCATTACTTTGTTAGCTCAGGTGTGTTACTACAAACTACTCCATGTTATAACTTCATCACTTCTCTCTGCTATCTTGCTAGGGTTAGCTCACTAAAGCTAACCTGCCGAGAGCGAGTGTGTTCCGATCGAAAAATCCACTCCTTGCTGTTCCCTCCTGCTGCCGTGAGTGGAAGGAACTGAAGTTAGAGTGGGCAAGTAAAAAACTGTGTTGAAACAGGATCCAGGATGGAATTGTCCCTCTCCCACAATGCTTTTCAATATCAAGGAGCAAGGAATCTGCCTGGTCACGTGGAAAAGACAGGAACGTAGTGTTGTCTTCCAAACATTTTGAGGCATTTGATGAACCTCCAAGGTCAAAAGATTGAAATGATATATAAAAAGTTTAACTTTTGGCTTTCCTTCCCAAAGATGACGATGGAGGCTCTAAGTGACTTTGGGGCTCCCACCCACTCCAACCACATTCTTTTGTATGCTAGAACAGAAAATCATCTACCTATTTAATTTTGATCAAGAAAATAAATAAGTAAATCTCTGGACTCACTATTCAACTCACCTCAAGACTACTATATGTAAATGAGCTCTGTTCTAATTGGCTGCCCTGTATTGTTCCTTATTCAACAAGCAGTTCAGGATGTAACACTCTTTATAACTTCAGCTAAAATACTGTAAGCTAAATATGTGGATATATGTAAATGTGTTGGTTTTTAATTACATCACAGAAACAATGAATTCAAAACAGGCTGCTTTTGCTGCTTTTGCTACTACATCAAACTAGTTTATTACATAGAAGCAGGGAAATTCTCAGCTTTTTATGATATAGGCCTTTTGACACAATTTAATCTTTCAAATAAAGACAGTTAAAATGTTAATCTTAATCATTCATATGGCAGTTGATTATCAGCTGAAATTTCATTATTGTCACAGTCCTAAATATGGCTAAATGAAGGTAATTGGCTAGACGAAATCTAGCCAATCATATGTACAAACAGAAGAGTGACCAGGTAAAACTACACTTCACATAGATTAGCAAAGCTAAGTTAGCATATTTTTTGATCAACAGAACCTCTGTCTCATATTGGACCATGGAACATCAGGCCAATCCATGCACAGGTCAGTGTGAGGTCAGTGTTTGAGTCCAGGACAGAGTGTGTAGGTGTTGTGCTGGGAACAGTCCTGCAGACTCTGCTTCATGTACTGGGTGTAACTGGGTGCCAGTAGAGAGACTAGATCAGTAGAGGAGGTGAGAGAAGTGTGCTGATGGAGGTGTGAGGGCTGGTGTCATTTCTACACCTCCCCAAAATGAGAGCAGAAGTGTGAAGGCTGGTGAAGAGAGATGAGATCAGCAGGGTCACTGCACAGAGCAGACGCTCAACACTGTGACCCTGAGGTCAGTAGACTAGGACTAAGGCAACCAATGGATGAAATACCGCAAATCAATACAAATATACTTCTGATCAGCAGTGGAGTATGGTCCTGCCCCAGTCCCAAAAGTTTCTCCTGAAATCAAGGGTATTAATAGGGAGTTTGTTCTGCAGTCTTTGCTGCCTCTACCCATCTAGGAAGGTTTTAGACTAGATTTTGG